GAAGGGGAAAGAGGAGCTATTACCCAACGCAGGATTGGCTGAGGTCCTCCTAGAACAACCAAATGCGGGGCTGGAGAGGATGGAGCTGAGGAACAGTCTGGGCCCAGCCCCCCCCCCAGACACCTGGTTTTTCGGGTTCCCTGAAGCTATGGGAGACACCCCCAACACACACACTCAAGGTGACAATGACCAGAGCCCATTTACATCTGCCACTTCATTTTTTTATTTGCAGGAGGAGTTGAAACAAATTTTAAGGGTATTTTCTTTTTTTTTTCCCTAAACATGAATCATTCAAGTAAAACCAACTTAACTATAGAAATGTAGCAAAGTAAGGGGAAAGTAGCGTAACAACCCAAGAGGCAAAGGTTGTAGGGGGGGAAGAAGTGGGTGCAGTCCGCATATAACATATGCATAAATGCCATATGATTCACCTGCTCAGGACCGCCTCCCCAGAAGGCAAGCACAAGGACCCATTTTAAGAGGATGTTTTCCCCCCAAACATATGAGAATGTTTCAACTTAAAGCTTAAGGTTAAAAAAAGAAAAAGGAAAACAACAAAACAAAAAACCCCCACAAACCACCCAGCCATAACCACCTTCCTTAATCGATCATAGGAGTTTCTTTTCATTTTATAAAAAGATTAATAAAAAATATTGAAAAAATTATTTTCTCATCTTATATTTGTAAAGATAATAGAAGTCAGAAGTTTCTTAGAAAACAGACCAGAAACTGCCACATCCAGTTTCCACCCCTGTTGCTGAGAGGATCAGCAGGACTAGAGAGTTTGGGATACTGGAGCTGCTGGTGGAGAAGGGGAAGCCCAGCCCAGAAGAAATCAGAAAATATTGGGGGGGAGGGGAGGTGCGCACATGGGGTGTGGTTAGGAACACCACCATGTGATACATGGCTGCGCAGAAAAGGGGAACACAAGGTGGTCAGAAAGGCCTTGAACTCCTCCTCGACATACAAAACCAACTTTTACAAAGATCCAAGCAGTTTGGTCCCAAACTGAGGTGAACACTTCAATGTTTATTCACATGCTTTGTTTTCTCTTTTAAGAATCAAAGTTGCCCAAATTAAATCTTTCCGCTAATGTTACTATATATGCCTAAAAAGGGGGGGGGGGCTTTTAAAATCAGGATAAGGGAGAAGAGACTGAAAATCATCAAATTAGTCCTCTTAGCTCCAAATGAAATGAAATGAAGAATAAAACTGTTGGTTTCTAATAGGGAACAAACCAAAATCCAAGTATCGCTCTGCCCTCCCTACCCCAGCCCCACCCCACACAGGAACAAATGAGAACCACACAGCTAAAGCCCAACATGGTGTGTTCTGCTCAAGAGCTGGGCCTGACCCCAGGACCCACAGCCGGCTGCCTCTGTCTGGCGGGGCACAGCGCCAGGGATGCTTTCGGCTGTAGTAGGAGTTCTGCATGGCTGGTGGGGGGTAGGGGTGGGATTTTCAGAATCTTCTCGCGGCTCCTCTGTTTAGCTCCTCACCAGCCATCTTCCCAGCGCCTCTCTCCCTTGGGCAGGGGCTCCCATCAAGGTGGCCTCTACTCAGCTGTAGGCTGTAAATTGTCCTTCTCTTCTCGGTTCTCTGTCCCACTCTCGTCGTCTTCGATCTCCCCTTCCTCCCCACTGAACTTGTCATGGGCCCACTTGGGGCTGGTGCTGGATTTCCGGAACATGAACCGGCCCCGACCCCGAGGAAAGGCTCCTCGGCCCCGGCCCCGGCTCACCCACTTCTCACTGCCTTCACCTTCACGGTCATCATGCTGAAAGGAAAGAAGACTGCCATCAATGCCAGAGTGAACAAGAGCAGCCAGAACCCTCTCCTCTGAACCCACCCAAATGGGACTTTCTCAAATGAACCTATGCCCTGTTCCCCACTCTAAAAATGCTACTGATTCAGATCTAAGAGAATATTCAGTTGGGTTCCTTGAATTCTAAGGCAGTAGTTTAGGCATTATAATAATGATGATGATGATAAAATCTTCACTCAAAGGCCTTTTCCTGCATTATCTCATTTAATCCTCACATCTACCCTACCCTATCATCATCACCCTCCACTACACAGATGAGAAAACAGGCAGAGGAACTTTAAGTAACTCCATATTATTTAGAACACTGTCTCTCAAAGGGTGGGTTTGAAAAAGCAAATCACCCCTAAATGTGAAACTATGATCTGAGTTGTCAGGAAGGTAAGAGATGAAGCAACACAGAACACACACATAGTTGGGACTCTAGCTCTCCCCAACCCTCCCCCTCAGCCAAGAACAGGCCGTGAGACCAAGGGAAAATGATCTATCTGCTCATGGTCTCAGACCAGTTATTGGCAAAGGCAGGACCAGAAAGAACCCAGCCTCCCATCTTGTATCCCTCCCCTCTTTAGTTTTATGCAAGGAGGCAGTGTGGCAGAGTAGAAAAAACAAAACCTACAACTCAAACAATCCCTGGTCTGATGATCACATGAGAAGAGAAGAAGGGATCCAATGAAAAAGAATGAAATGACAAAGCATTTTGAAAAGTCACTGTTACCTATCAGCCCCATGGCTTCAAAGAGTCTAAATCCTCCACTCACACAAGTAGTGCCTTAGGCCCCTGAAGGGTTAGCTCAGCTAAAGGGCCAGCTGCTTATTCACTAGCCTAAATGAATCAGGCTGGCAATGCTCCTTCAGGGGACAGATGGGGCAGGGAAAGGGGCTTTGTGTGGCCTTTAATCCTTCCCTTAAGCAGCCCCACTCCAGTACCTATCCTGGGCCCAGGCAACATTTCCCTAGATATAGGTTCAAGGGTCCTCTAGGAGTCCCAAAGTAGCTACCAGCAGCCCTAGAAAAGTGAAGTTGGCTATACAGTGATTTACACAGCAACCCGTTTCCTAGCTTCCTGTTTCCATGCCAGTCCTCAGGGGTGATGAAGAGACTCAGCTGCAAGCTGACCTTGGTTACAACACTCAAGAGTCACGTCTGCTTGGATCTGAGCCTACTGTTGAGCAAAGCCAAAAGAGCTCTCTCACTGGCCAGGTAATTCAGCTTAGAAGAGCCCTAACCTGAGAGGCAGAGAGGCTCAGATGGTGCCTGGTACCTGACAATGACCAACAGCTTAGAAGAGAGAAGCCCCAGTGGCGTCTCATTTTGGAGGCAGGTCCCCTTCCTCAAAAAGAGATCCTGAGCTGTCTTTCCTGTCAATCTTGTGCTGGGGAACTGCAGCCTCAGGAGAAGGTTATGGTTCTATCCCTTGCATAAAGGCTGGAGGGAAGCCTAGGTTAGGGTGGGTGAGCAGTAAAACAATTTCACAGACTAAAAAGGCAAGAGCAACCTTTCCCGCTTACTCTGGAATCCATAAACGTCTTAAGAGAGCGCTCCCAAGGTTAGGACTACCTCTCTAGAGAACTCATCTTGCCAGCACTATGCCATCCCACAAGTACGCATGTACCCAGTGCAGCGCCTGCACACATATTTAATCACAGTTCTGGAAAGACCAATCAAAGCCTCTGTATCAGCTACTGTGTGTGCCAAAGGCCCCCTGGCCCTTCCTGGTTGTCCCCAGACACATACCAAGTAATACTTCTTGCTTTTGGGTGTGTACTCGGGGTCCCATTCCTCCTCACGGTTTCTCTTTTGAAAATCGTTGTTGCTGCTGCTGCTGTTGTTACCAGAGTAGTTGCCTCTGCCCCAGCCTCTTCCTCTGGCTCGAAATTGCTGTGGCAATAAACGGGGGAAAGGAACAAAGGGACCATGTAAGGAATGGAGAAAAACAATTCCTCGCCTTCTATTCAAACACTTTTCTGGCACAAAACAGACAACTGTCCTCCAGTCAATATGCTGGTCAACTGGTTTCTAGTCATTCCCTTTCCATTCA